GTGTGGGGGGGGAGGGAAAAGGGGGGAACCTTTTTTTTTTAACCCGGTTTTGTAAGCCTCCCCAAAGGGGAAAAAAAAAAAAAACTTTTTCATTTAGGGGGGGGGCCGACCCGAAAAAAAAAAAAACGCCCAGAAATCAGGCCCCCTTTTTTTTTTGTGGTTTGGGGTAAAAGGAAAAAAACCCCTTTAAGTTTTTTTTTTTAAAAGAAAATTCCGGGCCAAACCATTCAAAAGTTTTTTTTTTTTTTGGGTTTTTTTTTTTAAGGGGGGGAAAAAAAAAAAAATTTAAAAATTTTTTGTTTTTTTTCCAAAAAATTATTTTGCAAAAAATTTTTTTTAAAAGGGTGGGGTTTTTTTTTTTTTTCCCTTCAAAATTAAAAATAAAACGCGGACGGTTTCCCCCCCCCCCCCCCCCCCCCCCCCCCTTTGGGCGCGTTCGGCTGCGCCAAAAACTGGTTGCTTGATTTGCTGTGTGACGGGACGGTGCCAGGCGTTGGTGCGCATGGTGTCGCCGTTCGCGCCGCACCTTGGAGAGGAGTGCTGGGACCTGCTGGGCAACAACAAGGGGAACGGGATTGCCTTTGCGCCCTGGGTAGAGTGGAAGGAGGAGCTGTGCGTGTCGGACTCGGTCACGCTCGGAGTGCAGGTGTGTTCCTGCCCCCGCTGTTGTTTGCTGTCGTCGGTGGTGTTGTGCTGCGCGCTCTGTAGGGAAAATTGAGACGCGTGGTTATTGTGTGTTTCGATTTGTAGATAACCATCCTGCTTGTCGGCTTTCGACGGCTCTGTACGCGCACCCCCATTATTTCGCTAATTTTCTTACCACCACCTTCCTTCCCCTGTTCTACGTCTTTCCTCCGCACGCTCTCCATTGGTCGGTTCCTCCCCCTTCGCCCGGAAAGGTGAACGGGAAGGTGCGCACGGAGCTGGAGCTAAGCAAAACGGCGTCGAGCGATGACGCCCGTGCCCTTGCGGAGGTTCTCCCGCAGGTGAGCACGCCTCAAGTATGACTTGGCCGTGACCTGTTTTTTTTCTCTCTCTCCTCTACTTCGACTTACGTGGTAGTTGTTTAAGACGAAGGAAAACGAATGCAGAAGTTCTCGCTCCTTCTTTTTGCGACACGCCTGCGGGGTCGATTGTTCGAGGTGGGGTTTTCCGGGAGCTCCACAAGCAAACGTTGTGCTGCGTTCCTCCTCCTACGCTATATTGTTGCGAGGGTTGGCACAGGGAGGACTGCTTGTGTGTGCGGAAAACTGGCCGGGTCTTTGTCCAGCTTTTGCTCTCCTCCTGCTGCAGTCCCTTCCGTGTTCCGTTTACCAATGACAACCAGCAGTGCAACATAAAATAGATGTGTTGTGTGGCACCATTCTGATCTTTTCATGGTGTGGAAGACAGCAGTGCAGCCATGCTGGGTGTTGTGGAACGGTTTTGTGTATTCTCGACTCCCCACTCGCATGGCCATCGCCGCCTTTCGCCTCCGCTGTTTTTTTCTCTCGTATCCTCCCGCGCGCTCTCGTATCCTCCTCTTCGTTGTGTTTGTCTTGCGGCCTCGTTATTCGTTGGTTTTTCCGTGCTTTTCGTATACGCATGGTGTCATCAGGTGGTGAAGTTTACCGAGGGGAAGGAAGTGAAGAAGTTCATCTACGTCCCGGGTCGCATCATTAGCTTCGTCGTCAAGTAGACTCTATTTTGGATGGTGTGGTTTGAGTGCTTGTATCGTTTATTCTGGACTTGAGTTGCAGCGTCTTTCGGTATGGTTTTCCGGACGCATCGGGCGGGGTCACACAAGAGAAAGGCCACCCAGCTGGTAAGTGTTCGTTTCATTTAGTGTAAACTACTCTTCTTATCGTGTAGAGGTTCATCCGGTAATAACAAGGTACCCAACCAAGCATTTTAGGTAGGTAACAGTTACAGTTACACACGGATTGGCTTCCCTTGGTGGAAGATCACCCCCCCCCTTTGCCGTTTTCAGCGTAGGCCAACCTAGCAGCCTTGAATGAACACTGTGTACAATTTTCTCGCGCTGTTTCTTGGTGGTGCTGCCCCTCTTAGATTTTTTTTTTTCGCGATTGTTGCGCGTTGGGCGTCCAGGCTCGGCTTGAGAGCGACGTGACGGAAACGGTTGTGTGTGTTAGGTTGCTTTGTGGTGTTGACTGCCCGTCGCCAGGCAATTTGTTGAACAAAGAGAAATAACAGAAAATGAGTGCGCAATCATGTTTCGTCAGTTGTGGTAGCTCGGGGTACCCTCTGCTTGCTTGAGAGGGTAGATGAATAAACATGACACGTTTGGTGGATGGGTGGAGCATGTGTGTAAGCGCATTCATTCCTTTGTCAGAAGCGGTGTGGCTCGTTCACAACATCACATCTTTTCCCGTGTCGAGGTAAAACAGCAGCTGATTCATACCACCTGCTGTGCGGACGTGCTCACGAATGATTTAATTTCTCTCATTCGCCGGCATCACCCCGGACAATGATGGGGAAGATATGCATACTGGATGATCGCGACGACACGCGGGCGCAAAAGCCTCTTCATGAAATGAATGAACCAAAGCCTCTTCATGAAATGAATGAACCAGCCAAGTGCACCCGGCACACAACTTTATTTTTCGGTGAGGTCTCACAAAGTTGACGCTCCCCCGGCGGGCACAACACACTCAAGTTTGACTGAGCTACATGACTATACACAAGCTGCACCCATCCACCAAACGTGTCATAAGACTAGTGGTTTCTCTGGTAGCGAAAACACCTCGAACCAAAGCATGCCATAAATCGACGACTGTTTTGCAGGAGGTTACTCTTTACCGTGTACCTCTGTCTACTTTCTTGCACAACTGGTGTGAACCCCTTATTTCTCCGTAGCATGCAACCAACGACATACACAAGGAGGGTCATGCTTGGCACACGGGTGAACAAAACTCTGTAATAAAAACGCCTCCACGGGTTGCCAGGGGTTGTTTGTTTGTCCTCCCCCCCTTTTTTTGGTTTTTACCCGCAACGCGATCTTTGGTCCGTCACGACATCACGACTCTTCACACAACAGCAACAGGCAATCATGGTGTCTCGTAGTACGTGGCTGGCACCTGACTTTCGCACATGCATACTGCTCTTATGGTGGCTAGTGGTGCTCGTTCTGGGTGACGACATCCACGTCTCTCCTAGCGTGGAGAATGAAGATCCAGGTGTACGAGTTCAAACGGGCGCTGAGTTGCGGTCTGGCTCCGTGGTGCTTGGGGACCTCAGCAAGAGCAGCGGCGTGGCAACGGGAGAGGTCTATGATAGCGACGAACAGCGGGATGTGTCCTTGTGTCTTCTGATGATCGTCCGTGACGAGGAATTCAGCCTCAGCGAGAACTTGCCTCTGTGGCTCGATGTTGCCGATTGCTTCGTCATCGGAGTGGATGATCGCACGAGCGACGCGACGAACATGGTCATTCAACAGGTCCTTGGTGACAAGACAGCGAGGTAGGGGTTGTTTGTGTCATGTGGGGTGCTTCGCAGTTGAGTGTATTGCTTGGTTCCCTTCCTTTCTCATTCCTCGTTGCTGCGACGGTTGTGTGTGATACGCCCGGGGGTACATGCACACGACAGAGTGCAAAGGATATTTTATTAATTGTGGTCTACCGGTCGTTCTTTGAGAATACAAAACCTGTCAGTCTGTCGAGGATACCCTTGCTCGTTCCACGCAAAAGTCAGAGTCCCTTGAAGATTAAACCGTTCACCAGTGGAAGTATGTCTCTTCTTAAAGTGTGGTGTTTACCAAACGTGGACGAGGGTAGGGTGCTTGCAAGTAAGGGTTAACTCCGTCGGACGGAAGGCGTCGGCACAACTATACAGTGTGCGGCAGACTATTTATCATGCACAATTCACCCGCATCCGCTTACGAGACGTCCTGTAGATTGCAGTCTACATACAGCATTCTTTACAGTCATCCGGCGGAGCAGGCCCGGGGTCGTCGTAGTATTCAATATTCACCCACCACCGGGTAGGCTGCTACGTTCGTGAGACCTCGTCAAGAGGGATCACCTAATTTTCTCCTGCGCATGCAGTCGAGGCTGTACTTGAACCATCCTGACCTAATCTCGTACTGTGTACTCCGTATGTATGTATGTAGATACCTGCCCAAATATCCGTACTGTAGTTGTATGAGATATCGGCCCGCCCCCGTTAGACCGACTTTTATAGCTCAATTTCTCCACAACCAAGAGGGTTCGAAAACTGGACGATGCAGGTCTAAGGAAGGCTCTACTGTAGACGAGATCACTCCGGAACCACCGTTCGTTTTCTGTTGTGTCCTCTCGGTTGTGGAGCATTTAGCTAGTGCAAGTCGGTCTGGGGGTACGACCGCTCGCACGACAAAGGCTATTCCTACAGATAAACAGAGTTTTACTCGAAACACAACGCACGTACAGATATATATATATATATATATCGTGTCTGCATACTCAGAACGCTGCTACTTTGTTCGTTTGGCCATCATCATCCCTTCATTTTCTTCGTATTCCCTCCCCCCACAAGGTTCGTCTTCACCTTCACCTTTATGGACTTTGCCCAAGCACGGAACGCCGTTCTTCGCTCGACAGCGCACAACTTCCCCGACACGTCTCACATCATCGTCGCGGACGCGGACTGGAGACCAGACTTGGCAACCGTCGACAAATCTGAGCTTGACTTTGTTCACGGATCTTTCCCGTTCCTTGTCTGGGATCACAGCGGGCACACCAGCCGGCTCATGGGGTGGCTGCATCGGTTCGACAAGAACCTGCGATTTAAGTACAGGCAGGTGCAGGGAGGCGTGTGTAGCCAGTACTTCGTACACTGTCGAAATGTTCAGCGAGGTATTTGTAGAAAATCGACCCTGTATGGTGGGTTCATCACTCGACGTGAGCGAACGGCGGTTTCCTCGCTGCTTGCGGCAACGGTGTAGCTTTCAGGGGAAAGCATTCCCCGTGCCGAACGGGGCTTACCCTACCGGCGCCGTTCATCGCACCTAAGAACGCTTACCTAGACAAGCAATATGTTGTATGTGAAGTATTGAGCGCAGTTGCAGCGCTCGCACCCCGTGCACCTGGCTACTATCGAAGACCACAAATACCTTGTATGCATGTGTTCAATGGCCGTATGCATACACGGGATCTGTATTCGCACAGCAGTAACAACTCCATAACATGACGAACAATCATCCAATCAGGATCCATGAGGTACTGGATGCCTCTGCATCCGGTGTGGGCGATTTACCACCGAAAGTCGTCGGGTGGGAGGTGCGAGTGGTCGAGAGCGACTCCAACTGGAATGCAAACCTTCACATGCACAGCCGGAGCTTCGAGGTAGGCCATGTCCAGTAGTTGCGCTCGCCCTTCACTCAGAACATCAGTGGGTCTTTGACCCGAGGTTTGAACATAAGAAACAGTATTCAGCCTTCGTAGAATGCTCCAGGTGCGTTGAAAAATAGTAGGACGTGTTGTGCCAGTATTGATGAACTTTGGCGATGATTCATGCTCAGGCTACAGGAGTGTTGTTTTGCGCATTTCGCTTGGGGCTAGATTTTCCAGGTAGGTCAACGCTTTCAGGTGTTGGATGCTGTCTACCTATTCACGTTGTAGGCAAGAAACCCTCACACCTGTCACCGGCACGCCATTCTACAAACAAACGAGAACTTCCAATGCATTTGCTGATATCATGAGCGACGGCGTTGTCCCCTCATCCGTCGGAGTATCATTTTCGTTTCACCCGTTCCGTGGTCATCAGCAAAACACGAAGCACGACATACAGATGAAGCATACCTACCCCGTTTGGACGCACTCACAAACAACCCCGGGTGTGTTCTCATTAATTCTGTCACCTTCACCCTTACGCGCGTTCCTTGTCAGCGTTTCAAGTTTGACCTTGAGTTCCTTGAACTGGAGTATGAAGACGACCCGACCGATCTCCACACGCTCTTCTACCTTGGTGAGTGAACGACAAGTTATTGAGCTACCAGTGTCCAGTTCTCGCATCAGATCAGCCACTTCACCACATGCAGCTGCCGTTCCATGCAGGCTTAGTACCAATGATCGGTACAGCATTATGTGCACATATAAACGGGAACAGACTGCACGATGATGGCGGCGTCAGTCGATTCGATCGAGGGAATTCGGAGTGCCGCGGATAGCAGAGTGGAGCTGGGCGAAAGCGTGACCGATGACGAAGAGAGACGCACATGTTGTCGGCAGCAGCGCAGCGAAAACCCTGAACATCTGAAAGCATCGCAACTCGACCCTCGAAAAAGACAAAAACAGAAACGCATATTGACCTCTACCTGAAGGGGCACAAGCCAATCCCGAACGCACGGTAATCTGCTGTATTTTGACGTTTCTGCGGGACAGGCATCACGAAATTCGCGTACATTGAGTCTCTCTTGGGCAAAGGCACACATGAGAAAACGCCGGAGTTACAGGCCTTCATCACAGACGGAATGTCCTACTTCCGCCAGGCTGTTGATCTGCATGGGGAAATTCCGAATTCCGAGGTGAGTTCGTGAGCATGGTTGCGTCGAAGGAGAGGGCTGTTGCGTGTGATGATACCGGGAAGATAATAGTGCGAGGAACACAATCGCGGTCGTACTGGGTTTCTGTCGCCAGCATCTATTCTGCGGAACCATCCCTCCAAACACCCCCAAAATCTTGCAAACAAAATCCTGGCAACACGCGACCACCGCGTCGTCAGAAGCATAGGCAGTAGCGGTGTTGCAGTGTGCATGCCAATCATGCCTATTTTGTTCCTTAACGCCGATAGAAATTCTTTGGAGGCGAACCACATTCTGATGCAAAACGTGCGCCACGATCGCTTCATTTGTCCAATGAGCCCTCAAGTGCCCGCTCGCGCTTTGCTGCACGAAACCACACAACACGAACACTCGCTCGTCGTGTGTCTTAGCTCGTGTGGGGATCAAAGCGCTGGCTCTCGTACGGGTACCACTACTTCGTCGGCGACAGCGAGGAGGCGGAGAAGATGTACAAATCATGCATCGAGTACGACCGCGCCCGCATCGACTGCTTGGTCTTCCTCAGCCGCCTGTACCTTGACAGTAAGCTGCTCCACTGCATGCACTGCATAGCCTGCGTCAAATATCGTGTTGTAGGACCGAAAGGCATCGGACTACAGTAACATTTTGCGCGTTACACACGTAGGTTTTACCGGCCTTGTCCGTCGGAGGACGATGAGTTTATGATTGGCGGCGTTCGACGTCTAGCCTTACGACGCCGCGCCAGACGTTGTTTCTTTCATTTCGCGGCCTTCTTTTCGACATTCAGGCCGCGGGTGAACGAGACACAACACAGGCACGGTACTTGCAAACCTCAGCAGGCAGCAACTGAGAAACGCGCAGTTGATCGGAATAATAATAGGCATCTCCTCCTTGTTGAAGAACGTTTAGAGCGCACCATTTCGAGACACATCTGTACTTATATCGCGAAATTAGAGGCTTTCGTGAAACCGCTACGAATCTATTATTCTTTTACGAAGCGCCTTCTGGCACCAACCTCAACGCGGTCGACCTTGCCAATTTGAGTTTTTCCTTTCTCAAACTGAACCCTTCGGACGTTGAGCCCGGACTACCCCATCGTCTCGGCCTTCTTCTCCTCAGATAACGCCCTCGACGCTGCTTGGGACACGGCGAAAGAGGGGCTTGTGCACCGACCCCCGGCCGGTCAGGTCATGACCTACTTCTACACCTTCGAGTGTTTCTTACCGACCCAGGTGAGGGACGATCTTTACCCTCCTATGCTCGCACCACCCGCGCTTCGGCATAAGATTTGTTGCGTATTTTTGTGTAGAGATCTTGAAGCTCTCCCGTTAGATCACATTATGAACACTTTGCTTGGGTCGACTCTTGCTCTCCTATGAGTCACATACAAATAATCTACGGCGGTAGATGCTGGGTATTCATCCTTTCCGCGGGCATGCAGAAGCATGGAAGGCGCCCGAGAAAAACCTCGTTCATAACATTCTGGAATAAGTCAACGATGTGTACGTGTCTTTTACCACAGGTGGAGACTTCCGACTGTGTCGTTCATCGTGTCCTCGAGCTGTCGTTCATTGCAGCCCTCGAGCGCTCCACGCTGCCATAAGAGTAACCAATAACATCGTCGTGTTTCCCTCCGCGCTGCGCATTTCACTGCGATCGATTGTGGTGATACGCTGAATGGGTTGGAACTCGAAGGCGGCCAACGTCATCTCGAAGAGGATTATTGCATCAGAGTCGGACGACCTCGGGAATGATTCGCTCGAGGGTTTGCTTACGATGGGCTGGTAAGAGAACAACTATAACCAACAGAGCACACCAGCCCCAGCGCACTGAGGAGCAGCTTGAGATCGGAAGCAACGCTGACGTCTGATTTTCACAGAAGAAACTCCAACTTTTCTCAAAGCAGTGTTCCTTTCACGCACAAACCAAGAGGGTGGCAGCCATGTAAAAGAAGACCGGTTGCTCGATGAACCCCATCAAACGCATTTCGAGAAGTCGTTGCATTGTTGAAACCTTACAAATCGTCCCCGGGGGGATGGTTTTCACCGTCACAGGTATCTTGTCCGTCACCATCGGACCCACTGCACGGACGGCGTCATGGTTGACACTCCGGAGGACATCGACCGCTTGGAGTCGTGGTTCGAAGAGGCCATTGCACGGGAAGCATTGGATGTAGCGGAAATCAAACGCCTCACTTTGCTCAGCGACGAAGAGTCTCTTTTGGCTCTATTGCTTCGGGCGTGGGGGACGGGAACAAAATCTTTTACGGCGTGGCATCCTCAAGTGCAGCAGCAACCGCAAGGCACACAAGTACAACGACAACATGATGAGCAGAACCGACAACAACATGAAGAACAAGGAGAACAAGGAGAACAGAATCAGCAACAACAGCACCAGCACCACACCGAGAGCAAAACTTCCGACGAGGCTGCAGCGGAGCTTGCCCGAAGATCCTTGGCCAATTCCCCATCGAATGGTGCCAACGGTATCCATGAAGAAGCTGGCTCAAAACCAACATCCGGGACCCCAGAGAAACCGTCCAAGCTGACAGCAAGTGATCGAGACGGCCGCGACACAGAGGGACCTGGGGTGGCCCCATTCACAACGGAAAACTGCGGAAAGCTAGTCAGAGAGGCATGGATTTGGCTAGAATTTGACGAGCGAATGATTCCTGGAGTTATGCCATCCATGAGCGCTGCGCAGGTAGACACTGCTGTCACGGATATCGGTCCGGACAGTGCACCCAAGTCTTTCCGGGCGCTGTTGCTCGGAGGAGGAGGCGTTGGAGGTGGGAGAGGCGGCCTCGAACACGAAGAGACTCTGCGGCTCGTGTTGCTGTTGCTCCAGCTGTCTTCGACGCGCTCCGAAGTCACCTTCGCGCACCCTGACAGTTCGGTCGTTGAGGCCGTGCGGTCCGTGACATCGGGCTGCGCGAACGAGCTCGGCATCGCCGCCGACGGCCACATCCAGCTTGACTTCATGTATTCCACACTGGCCGACTCGATCCGCACAATCGCATTAGGGATAAAAACGTTCGACTACGTGGACATCGGGGGGCCTCTTTCTTCGAGTGGCGGCGGAAACAGCGAGAACACCGGGAGCCCCGCTACGGGCGCAGCCGGTGTCACCGTCCTCAACCCTGAAACCCTCACCTTGCTCGGTCGCAGGCTCGCACCGGGGGCGCATCTGAGGGCTTGGGCCTTCGCCAAGAACCCTTATACGGAGCTGGCTTTCCGCGTAGCAGCACCGGCACCTCGCGATAGAAGTAGGCAAGCCGTTGAAACTCCCACGAGTTTTGTGGAGGGAACCAGCACCAGCAGGGCAGCAGACACGTTATTGTTGGGCAAGATCCTGACGACAACGTTCCAAGTTGGGCGAAACAGAGCACTGGTCGCCCAATCTGTTGGAAAAGGTTCTGCGTTGCAGGCCCTTACCGAGATAGAGACCGATGCGGAGGAAGCGTGGGTTCGGCAGGTTTTAGCCGGAGGAGACAGGCTGAGCATCCCAGACGTCGCCCAAGTTCTCGTAGACGGTGGGTTCGAACTGTCGCCCATGCGCGTGATTGAGCGGAGGGAGGCAACTGCTTCAAGCTTTTCGCACCTCATGGAGATGGAGGAAGAACTCCTGGAAGAAGGCCTCTCCCGTTGGGATATCGCGGACTATGCTGACTCTCTCAAGCTGACGCCTACCTTGGTGCACCAGGTCTTCGCCGTTTGGCGCGGAGACGGTTCTAGTGCTGCCTCGTCAGAGACCGCGTAGTAGGTCAAAACCAACCAAAGCGAGTGAGGAGTTTGAAATTTCTGTTCGCAGCCTTTAGGGGCAAGTCGGGCGAAGATGGTGTTGTGGCCCCATTGATGCTTTGTAGCGCAGACGGGTAGAATTACAGGTTCAACCCGGAGTAAACTACTGCTTCGCGCGTGTGCGTGGGTTGGCGAAATAAACTGTACCCAAGAATCGACGGACTCCATAAATTCTGGTCTGTGCTGACGAGAGTGCGTGATTTACTCAGCAAGTCGTGTGGCCCACCGCGGCAAAAGCTAAGCCGGCTGGGTGATCAACGTCATGGCACTGCTGCCGCCACAATTTTGAGGTTTCGCCCGCCTCCCAGTGCACCATGTATGTTGCAATATGGCGTTCGTTCTTTCTTCTCCAAGTGAACTTCGATAGGCTATCAAACCAAAAGGAAGTATGTTCCAAAGGTTATCAAGAAGCAGATGTCACGCATTGCACGAGTCTGGGGCGGTTGTGCTGCCTGTCGCTCGCATGCCTATTCCGCGAATATTCTCGGTTCCGCCAGGCGCAAGATAAACCAATCCATTTCTTCGAGGAAGGTTGCAGGTCTCAAGGCAAGGCCTAAAGTACTACCGATCACATAGCCGAACCTCAGGACTTTTGACGGCCTTTCTCGCCCACACTGTCGCGAGCTGCAACTATGTGACGATAATAAGACATTGTCGCGATCAGGCTGACGCTGGGACATCGGCGACCAAGACCGCACGTGGCGTTGGATGGAGCAAGAAACATTCGAATAGCTTTAATTCGCACGCAACCATCAATTGCCTCTGTTTCATTACCGTGAACTCCTCTCTACTCAAGATACAAAGTTCGTTTCTCCAACACAGACCCCGATTTCACCCGAAGGTCAACTGTTCACTTAATAAAGTAGCTACACGAATGAACACCACGCCTGCCCAAATCAACAACTACCCAACATGACGACCTCTGCGATGGTTACTCCTGGTATGTGCAACAACGGGGAATACAAATGTTTAGAAGATCGCTTCAAGAAGGTGCCGCAGACGAAGGCGCAGTGCTTGGTGCTGGTGTCGGCGGTGTCGCCGAATCCGGTAGGTTCTCTCGTTGCCACTTGGGCGAATAGGTCACCGGCAGTTGGTCAAACAGCCTGGCCTCCGCAATATCGTTCTGGGTCACACCTTTTTGTCGAGTCAGGCGAAACATATCGAGGAGCACGACCAGGCGGGTGGGGAGAATAAGCCACGAGAGCGCTGACCTAGAACCAAAAGACACTTGGGGCGTAAATAAGATCACTAGTTTGACGATGTGGCAAGCCCATCTAGCGCGAACATAAAGGGGCACAAAATGTTGTTGGTACATCACTCTCTCGAGGTCGGGTGGACGCGCTCAGGGGGGCGCAGAATATCTGAAACGAACAGGAAAACAAAGAGTTTCGTAAGAATACGACAGGGCCCAGACAACGCTGGCCGCCAAAGCATTCGTGCCCCTCACCTCCCATCGAATGCGTCTGCAGCCGTATCTCGACGTTGCGGTATTGTGTCAGGTGGAGGTCTGGGTGATGACCTTGCTCCTCCGCCACGGTCGCGACCTCGTTGAGGAACGCCATTGCTGACACGAAATTTTTGGCGACGAATGATCGGATGATGAAGTCTCCGTTTGGGGTCGACGTCCACAGCGGTAAGGACGCCAGCTCCTGATTCGAAGCGGATAAGACAGACGGGGTTGTTAACGGGTAAGGCATCCCCCTCTTTCGGTTTCGCACTATGTATCCACGTGGTCGTTCACCTGCCGCCCCAGCCCGACCGCCGCGCATGATAATAGCGTGCAGAAAGGGGGGTTAGCTTGGGTTACCCTGCCAGTTCTCATCGCGATCTGGCGAGAGTAGGGGGTGGGCGTCGTGTCGAGCACACCCGATGGCAACCACCGCAATTGATTGCAGCAGACGGATTTGCTCGTACTGAGGGAACTCGGTTCCCTACGTACGTGGTTGCGCGAAGCATGTGCTAGGCACACACCACACAAGAGGATGTACTCCTAAAAACTATTGTTGGTGCAATCAATCGTTGTGAGATATTAGTACGATTGCTGTCCTTTGCGTCAATACTGAAACAAAACGACAATACCGCTCAGCCCAAATTACAGCGAGCGGGGGCACAGGCAGCAGACGACGGACCTTTTCTAGCTCTCGTGTGGTGTAGACGTTCAAACCGGATTCGCTTCCACCTTCGCACGGAGCGCACACCTTCGAAATGCTTGACTTTGGGCACGCCATACGTGCGTCTTGTACTAGTCTACACCGAGCTACGTGATGCCGCGGATCACACCCAATCGTGCGCGAAGAGGTCGCCTGGAGTGGGACGAACGGGAATGACGAAGAGGGGCATTATCTCTTGGAGTTGTACCGAACTATGCATATGGCTAACAAGTGCACCGAGGGTGCACAAAGAAATATGTCTTGCATACCGACCTACGTATGATAGGTACCTCCCTCCAGAGAGCCTCTAGAGGGGGGATTCTACAACCAAACGATAGTGCAAAACCAATTGAAAACGAGTTTGTTTTTGCTCTTGATCAAAATGTAATACAACTGCATCAAGCCTCAGCCTCATAAAAGCGCATCCTCTAACATGTGTTCCCCTCTCTCCTTGTACTGTACGGCTGCAAACCACCTCGATCACTCTAACATAGGCCACGCTAAGATAGGAGTAGTAGGTAGGTGTAGTATTCACTTTTCTTCGTGGACCCTTGAGCACACCCAAATAAATGTACTCCAGCACTGGATGTACTACATCACAGCATCACAGCAAAGCGATGAAGAAAGCTTTGAGTTGGTTGGGGATAGTTTCAAAACTTGTACAGCCGCATGTACAGTAGTCTAGTGTATATATATCTGGGTATTCACAGCGCCTGTACTGACAAGACACGGACTACGGTAACGAGCTGTACACAAATAATATAATAGCAGATACATGTACAACACACGGACAACTACGTACACTGCAGATGCATCTGTGCGCACGAGTGCTTGCAACTTGCGAATGTAGCGGATCTTTCGTGACATAAAGTCTTCGGTAACGAAATATACTTGTAAAATATAAAATACAAGAGCGATCGACGGCGGTGATCGACGGAGCGACGGCGGCGCGAGTGACCACGAAGAAGTCCGTTCGAATCAGGCCGCCCGATCGACGGACAAACCGACCGACGACCGACCGACCGACCGACCGAACCCAACCCTACTCTACCC